GTTAAGAGCATCAGATGCCAAGTGAAACCAAGAGAGAGAGCACCACGCAAGCGCGTAAAGGAGAGATTGGACACCTGATTTCGCGGGGTGTCTTTGGAGCGCGCTCTTTCATATTTTAAGTCCAACAAGCTCTTTTTATTTCTCTTTTAAGGTCCCTAACAGTGCAACGGTGAAGATATTCATACTTGGATTATCATCAACATGGACAAATGGGTAAAAGACGACACTCCGCTGCGTTGACTTTTGAGGCAGCGCGCAGTGTCTTCGCGCTGTAGCGTTACGCATTTATCTCCCTTCTTCCCATCTAATTGTGGTCGCTGCAGCATTCCAGCTTCAGAAAAAAGTCAAATATCTGTGGCGGGGGGGAAAAGAGAGCAGGGTGTTGTCAGAGGGGGAATGAGAGGAGGAGGGTGCAGTATGAGGTGTGCTTTTTTGGGGAAAAGCCGGAGAAAGACGGAGACGGGGAAGGTGTTCTGACGTGCGAGAGCCCGCGACGCGTTGCCCTCTTGAGTAATAATCGCGATCGGGAGAAGAAATGGCCTAGTTAAAACATCATCGACACAAACGACTAGAGGATAGAGCAGACGAATCGTGTTTTTTTTTTAGATGGACGGGCCGTCATCGTCGTCATCATCTTAATTCCGGGGCTCGCGTCGCGTCTTGAAGGTAAGCCATACGTCCACCACCACCTCCTAAACGTGACTAGAGGGTCTCTGTCTGTTGTGGGCTTAATGTGTGTGCAACATATACGCTTTGGTGACTTGGCATATTGCGCACGTTTTCCCGTCTTTGCGCACTGTCACAACTGGGGGGGGGGGGATTGAGATTTCCATGGAAATCCTCGTGCCACTTTGTGGCTATAGGACGTCTCTCCTTCCATTTTCAGCAGCAGGCTTGCCTGTTGATAAGCTGTCACATCCCCAACATGATCAGTCGACTTTGTGCGCCCAGCACCAGCGGCCGTTTTCACCGTGCCGCTAACAGGAATACATTAGTGGGATTTAATTGGAATCAGCTCATCATGCAGCCCGTCAGTCAGTCAGTCAGTCCTCTCATTTCCCTCAACCGTGAAGGTATAGATTATATTGATGGTGATTTGTTATCATGCTTATTGATGACAGCTTAATTAGAGCCTCGCGCTTCGGTTCTGCAATAAAAACTAATCTCGAGCAGAACGCGTGTCAGGCCCTGGATTCAGAAGATGTCCTCTCTAATGAACAAACTCACAACAGCTCTGAGACCCACACACACGCACAAACACACAGCCACACAAAGCCTGTCCCCCTAGAAGATGCAGATAGGATTGTGAATTAAATGCACACACTCTGATGATCCAGGGGAAGGCTCCATTAATATTCAGCGGTGGTTTGGGCAGTGCTCGGTTAATGGCAGACAACAGGACCTCTGTTCTGACAGGTCACGGATGAGAAATGGTATATTTTCTTTTTTTTTCCGCTCTTTTCTTTTTTAAGGAACGAGGGTTTCTCCTCTCACGGATGCAGTGCCTGTAGCTATGGAGAAGTGACATTTAAAATCCATCAGAAAACTAATAAAGTGCCTTTGTAGACTTTTGCAGGATTTCGTATTACTCTTGTCGACATAGTGTTGGAGTCCCTGTGATTGCTTTTCGAGGCCGTCATCACGTCAGACTGGTAACTGGCATTTGGGCATCAACTCAGATACAACAGAGCCGAGCTAAAGACTTTCAGAGCTTGCATTTGGCTTTTATATGTGGTTTGTTTTTTTGTTTTGTTCTTAACCTGTAATACTATATAGTATGTATCTGTTTAAACAGATTATAAGACAAATAGTCTCCTGTAATGCAATATGCAATGACTGGGGACCATCCTTGAATTAAAATGTCTTCTACCCTCAAAAAGCTGTGATTATGTATTTGTTCTCTTGCCATTCTTCTGTAAGTGGGAGTTGGTGGCAATTGCTATGGCAGTGACATCACACACCTTAGTGATGCTGCAAGTGAACAGTTTTTTTTCAGGAAACTGTCATTGCTACCTTTGTCAGGACTATGAATCCAATGATCCATCGTAGAGAACCAATAAAGCTAATATTGTGTTGAGTGTCGTGCCATATGGTTTGCTGAGAGAACGCAGGTGATAAGAAGAAAGTTTTTTTTAAAAAGGAACGACTGCTTAATGGATTGGATGGCAACATGGAGCAGAGACTTACAATCCAGAACAAAATGTGCCATCTTAATGTTTAATGAGGTATGTTTGGGTCATAGTGGCTGAGAGTGAGCTGAGGTCTACAGAGGGATAGTTCTTTAATAAAAGGGGAAGGAGGAAGTGGTTGGTGTGCAGCTACATTAGAATTTCACGTTTCAGATATTGTTTTTTTTTTACTGCTAACGTGCCACTGTATGGTCAGGAGCTGAATTGAGTTATGAGGTAAAATGATTGAAAAACGATGATATATGGAACATGTCAGTTGATCAGTAGGCCTCCATGTGTTTTCGCCCTGAGCTTGCAGACCACTTGGTTGTAAATTCAAAGGGCGCTAAGATTAAAACATCACAGCCATAGGTTGTAAATTACAGCGTGTAATATGTGAAGATAAACTGAAGTGACGACTTGTGTTTCAGCTTCTGGTCAACCACAGGAAGACACTAAAGGTACTAGATTCTAGTTGCAAACTATTTGAAAAGACACAATTATCGGACATTTTTGTTTCACTTTAAGAAGAGCAAAAACCATAAATAATCTAATTAATCCATTTGCACCTTATTGGGTGAAGTGAAGATTCAGATTGGAAATCCAGAGCTGAGAGTTGGGGCATTTTAGGGAAAGCATTCAGTTTTTAAGCGTATGCTTGTTCCTCAGAAACTTTTTCAAATATAAAGATGTCTTCTTGGTTTCTGCTTGTTTTCCTGGGTAATTCCTGTCTTTGGAACTTTGGAATTAGATGTTAGTTATCAATTGAGCAGCTGTTATCACCCATTTATTTCCTCGCCATGTGACCAGTTTCTCACCGAGCTTTAGCACATAGTGAGAAAAGGTGTATCTTATGCTGAATTTGCGACGAGACCGTCTGGACTTTGAAATTTTCTGTGTGAAGATGTCAAGTTAGTGAAAAAAAGAGAGGTTAAAATGACCCAGCTATCTGTCTCATCACAACCACCGAGGAGAAAAGCGGTAGAATAGCCTGACCTGACCAATTATTTGTGAGCAGGGTAAAGCCGGAGAGATGCTTGTGCAAATGCCATGGCAACCACTTTGCACAACCTCCTCTGAGCAATACCACATCGCAGTTATCCATAAGACAAACCAGGATAAGTGCCATCCTGTCTCGTACATTGTACAAAAACACATCACACCAGACCCCGTGTAGAAAATCAGGTGATTTAATGTGTCTTTTATTTGCCACGGAGGCGCGGGCTTATTAAATGTGACGCGGGACCTTTCCCGAGTCGCAGAGGCCCACTCTTCAATTCTTCAAACATGAACCATTAAACATGCTGCAACGTTTAATTCTCCGATATGTTTTTTTTTTTTTTTGGGCCATTGTGCAGAAACTGGAGCCAGCATTCAGGCTTGCCATGTATTCGAGGGAAAATAATTACTTCTTTGAAGCGGTGGTGGTGTATCATGGGAGTGCATTCAGAAGGCAATAGGTGCTCTTTAGGAGGTGTGGGCTGTCGTGACATCAATCAAACACATGGACAGTTTGCCACATCCCACATTTCAGAGAGCGCTTTGTCACCAGCTCTATTCTATGGATATGTTTTATTGTCCAAATTAATTAATTGTCTTAATCCAAATATTGTATTTCAGCCTTAAGCTGGAATGTTTAGCGAGGAAAAACTTAGACTTGTCTCTCTGAAAGAGATCTGTGTAAAGTGATTAAGGAGGGATTACGACATTTCATTAAAAACTTTCACTAATTAATATTTGTAGGATTAAGTTGAAAACTTTTGCTCTTCTCTAAGTTGTTGTAAAATGTCAGTGCGGCTCAAAGTAATGATTTGCCCACTAACATTTAGAGAGAGTGACAGAAAGAGAGAGTTAAAAATCAATTTATTTATTTAGTAACATCTGGTCATGTTCAAGCGGTAACAGTGTAAAGGAAAAAAGAGAAAGAAATGACACTTCAGAAACACTTCACAGCTGTCCCCCTTTAAGACATTTGGTATCCCAAGAAATAAAGAATCTGTCAAAGAAAGCGGCAGGCTGTTGAGAAGCAGAAATCCAATACCAAATAAAAGCTACAGCCACTATCTCCGCAGATCCCAGATGCTTACAGAGTGATGTTTTTTTTAAAGTAAAGATTTATTGCCAGACAGAGGTAAATGTCCCATCATGGCCGTGTGCCATCTTTTAAACATCTTGTTGCTATCTGACTCAAGACACCAGAAATTGAGAGAACTGCTGAAAAAACAAGTGAGTGTGTGTGGTTACTGTGGCCGGTAAAGAAAACTGATGAAACAATGGATAAAATGCTTTGTTTATCCTTAAATTCAATGTATTTGCGTCCGACCTCTAGACTTGTGGCAAAGTTGGGCTCGGGAAAATGTTTTAAAGCTCCATACACTCTTAGAAAAGACCTTCAGGGGTCCAAAAACGTGTCCCTGGGGTGGTACTCCCAAAGTTCCTGCTTTTGTACCCTTATAGTTTGTCCGTCAAATACTTGGGAACATTTTTAGCCTTAATAGGTACATAGGTGGAGAAAGTGCATCAGAAGATATGAATATAGTCATATTGTTCCCCTATTTTAAAATGTACAGTTAGCATAAGAGGTTTTTCTCCCAAGCTTTTAGTAAAAATCTGGTTACATCCGGAATTTAAATTTGATGGATGGATTTTACGAAGCTAGCTCTTCTTGTTTGAAACTATGAACAGGTATAGTAAGAGAGAGGGAACCAAAAGAGCCACATGACAGGAACCTTTGTTGCCTCTTCATCAGCCAGTTAGCTTGATGTCTGTCTGGCTGTTCCTATAGTTTCCCCATTTTACTGCTATACGGTGTTATAATGAACCCGTTCTTTAAAGTAGCACACTGCTGCCCACCTCTTTTGAGCTTCAGTCTTACACACTCGACTATATGAAGAACATAAGATGCCTTATGAAGTCCCTTGAATCTCATTTATGTTTCACTTTCGTCTGCGGTTATCAGGCTCTAGGGGTCCAATGAGTTGTAGTTAAACAACTTCTTCACTCCATTGTCTAAAAGATGAAAGAGGTTGAACCAGCAGCTTCTGTCTAATATCTGCCTCCAGCTCACTGGCAGCCCATCAGATTTCGAGTTAGGATCTTGGATTAGATTCCAAAAATCCCAATCAAAAACTGATAGGCCTCAAATGTCTTCACTAGATGGACCCATCAGTTCACATCTGATAAAGCTCAAATCTTTCCATCCTGATAGGTCTCTCTTCCACACATGGCTAAATTGCCTGGGATTACTGCATTTCTGAAAACCCTAAAACCGTATTTAGCCGCACAAATATTCGGATAAGACTGGAGCCCTGTCATTTGCTTAAAAGGCTATTATGAAGCTTTTCTGTTCCACGGTGCGACTAAGCTTGTGTATTTGATTGTTTTTTTCTATCGTACATCGTGTCATATCACTGATACTAAGTTGTATTTTGTATTCTACCTCGGCCGAGGTTTGGAAAGAGCCAAACTGATAGATTACATCGATCTGGGAACTTTGCAGAGTGCTGATTGCTCAGAGGGAATTGTCACCTCCACACTTACACCGACTCCTCCTTTCTCTAAGAAGTTGTTTGTAAGTCCAGCACACTCGGATCATTTAATGTGCGCCTGACCTATGACTACTTACCTTCCATCTTGTGACCATTTGTTGCCAAAAGTGTAATTGTTTGACAAGCGTTTTGGTCTGTGACTTAACTATTAACCAGAAATAGGCTCAACATTCCCTTCTTTTGCTTAAGAAGTTTTTTTTGCCCTGTTTTTCTAAACGGCCTCGATAAGTTTGGCCATAACCGACTTCTGGGCTCCAGCTCTGTTTGTCATGAAATAAGACATTCTGCCTTAGTGTGACACAACAGATATTTTGTAAGGTCAGATACTAAATCTTTCGGTTGTGTGGTTAAGCACTTGATAAAAGACAGCTATGCACGTTCATATTAGTGCAAGTGATGGGTTACAATGTGGGCTATCACAACTAATTCTAATACAGCATACAGCGCTATTGCAAAATGTCAGGTAATTCAGTCAGGCACTTACATCAAAGGATGCAGGATGATTTATTGAAAAAAGATGTTTTGAAGTGCTCTGTGAAAACTGCAGTGCATTCGAAGGCGCTTTACAGAATAATCCTGGCAGGATAAGAAGGGAATTGCATTTAAAAAAAACAGAAAGAGTGAGTTATTCGTAATAACTTTAATTACTTTGTTTTAATTTTATAGGTGATGTAAGCCGTCCTATAAGGCCAAGAGTGTAGAAGTATTCTGTGTATAGTATTTAGTTTTTTTTTTGTATTTAGCTGACTCTCTTCATAACTAGTTTTTACTTTTCAAAATGCTTAGTGATATCTGGGAATCACCT